AATGATCTAAGTAAATTCCTTCACCTACGGCCTGACTAAATTCTTCAGAATATGGAATATCGATAATATAATCCAACCCTAATTTTTTGGCTGTTAAAGGTTCGAATGCATTAAAGCATACTTGGAATGGATACGTAAGCATTCGTTTGTATTTTGATTACAAAGACAATAAAAAGATGGTCGTTCTTGAAGTGTCAGATACAGGTTAATATTATTCTTTAACAAAATTTCACTGTGAAATTATTATTTATTATTCTAAGTAATTACTTAATTAAAACATATTATCAATCGCAATTTTTGGCTTTAATATTATTAATATGTTGTTTTTTAATTTAGGTGTTGGTATTCCGAAAATCGCCCTTCCAAATATATTCCAGCGTTTTTATCGTGTAGAATCTCAAGACTCACGTAGTCACGAAGGTACTGGAATAGGACTAGCTCTCGTCAAAGAGCTTATTACATGCCATGGCGGAGATATCATTGTAACTTCTGAAGTAAATAAAGGAACAACATTTAAATGTTGGTTTCCAGTAGGATATCAACATTTACCGAAAGACCTAATTCACTTAAATAGTGTTACAAAACCAACAAGTCATAATAGAGAATTATACACTATTCGACAGCTTTATTTAGAAGAAAGTTCTCAATGGATAAAAAATAATAAATCTGAAGCTAAAGATAATATAGCAGATCAATTGTCAATAGATTATTTGGATATGGATGTTGATAGTAATGATAAAATGGTAATGGAAGAGATTACCTTTGATTCTCCTACGAATGATCCTGCTACTGCCAAGAAAAAATATCAAATCTTACTTGTTGATGATAATAATGATATGCGGTAACATTTTCTTATTTTATAAATTTTTTCTTAAATTTGTATTTTTGATAAAGTTTATTTTAGTACGTATTAGTAATCTTATTTAAACTTATTATTGGCCATTTTTATAGAGATCATCTGACATCTTTGCTAAAAGAATTTGACGTATGTCGTGCTTGTGACGGTAAAGATGCTTTAAGAGTCTTAAAAAATCTTAAAAAATTACCTGACTTAGTCCTTAGTGGTAAGTAATTATTAGCCTTTTTTATTTGATATATTATATATATAATAATAATATGATTTCTTGAATTATATAATTTAATAGATATCATGATGCCGAATATGGATGGATATGAATTACTAGATGTATTAAGATCTAATGTAAAAACTCAATTGATTCCCATAATATTATTATCTGCAAAAGCTTGTGAAAATTCTAGAATCAAAGGTAAATTTAAATTACTATATTTAAAAAATTAACGTTAAATAATAATTTATTTTATCTTCCTTATGGATTTTCATTTAGGTCTGGATAAAGGGGCAGATGACTATTTAGTAAAACCATTTTCTACTCTAGAACTAGTTACTCGTATTCGTTCTAATATTAAACTCTCGGTTCTTCGTCGTAAAATTGTATATCATCAATTTAAGCTGGAAGAAACAAAACAATTACTGATTACAATAACAAATATGATTGTTTCTGGATTAAGTATGAACGAAACATTACAATATATTGTTAAAGAAATTAATCGTAGAATTCCAAGTGAAAGAGTTTTAATTATTTCAAATGAAAAATCTAATTTAAAAGATAATGAAATAATTGCTTCATATGGAATTTCAGAAAGTGTAACCAATTCAGTTACGGAAATTATTGATAATAATAATAGCAATAAGCGTAAATATGAAACATTTACTAATTCACCAGAATTTTTAAATAATAATTCAGGAATAGATATTTCTTTAAACGTATATTGCAATAATGTTCATAAAAATGTTTCAATACTATCTTCAGAAGTAAAATTAAATTATTGTTTTTGGGGATGGATAAAATTATATAGATCACCAAATTCTATTTGGCTTGATTCTGAAATAGAGTTATTACAGCATATATCAAATCAAATAAGCTTGGCTATTACTTATGCAAATTTATTAAAAGAGAATGAAGAAAAGGAAATTCAAATGAAAGCTGCTGAAATTGCAAATAGAACAACGAGTCAAATATTAGCAAATACTTCTCATGGTATTTTTATTATTGTTGTATATATACTATCCAAATTTTTTATTAATTTTTATCGCATCATTGCTAATTATCTTATTATTATTCTTATCATAGAATTACGTACACCATTGGGAGCGATAGTGGGCATTCTTTCTTCCTTTGAGAATACTGCCTTAAGTATTGATCAAAAAGATATGATTAATGTCATGTCACATGCTTCCGATATCGTATTATCTATAATAAATAATATTCTCGATGCAGTAAAATTAGAAGCACATAAACTTACTTTAGCAAATAAAGCATTTGATTTATTAGAATTATTTGATGACACAATTGAAGAATTTGGGAAAAGAGCTGGAAGTAAAAAAATTGAATTAATCGTAAATTGTGAAGTAGATAAATTGCCAAAATATGTTAAGAGTGATTCTGAGAGGTTATTTACTAATATATTTTATACTACATTAAAAATGTGCAAAGAATAGAATTCTTACTTTTCTTTACATATTAAATAGGCTGAAACAAGTTTTATCTCATTTATTAGCAAATGCGTAAATATATTTACTTATTTTTATTGCTTTTTTTTATAACCTATTATTGCATAATCCATTGCATAACTTATTACATAATCATTTCTTAGAATTAAATTTACCGAACAAGGTGAAATTGTGCTGACAATTTCGATGCAATCACAAAAAACCATTGGCGAAAACGAAAGGAATCCTTATGGTCTAGTGGTTAAAAAAGGAAATTTGTTGATTGAATTACATGATACTGGTATTGGGTAAGATATTTATAAGCTTATGATTGCTTATAATTTATATTTTCGAATATTTTCAAACATTCTAAGCCAATAATTTAATAAAAATAGAATGAATCCCGAATATATACAACAATCTTGGAAAAGCTTTTCACAAGGCGACATGTCAATAACCAAGAAGCAAGAAGGCACAGGACTTGGTCTTTCGATTTGTAAAAATTTAGTAGAAATTAATGGAGGAGAGATTAAAGCAGAAAGTAAATTAGGAAAAGGAAGTAAATTTTGGTTTACGTGGAATGTCGAGCTATTATCAACTATATCAACTATTTCAAAGTTTCCATCGCTATCGTTATCAGAGTCACAATTTAATAAACAAATAAGATATGTATTACCTCACACTATAAGAAGAAAACGGATACTAATAATTCATCCAGTTGAAAGTGTGAGAAACTCTATACTGAAATATCTTAAAAGAATTGAAAAAGTTGACGCATTCGATACCTTTGACAAAGGTATTAGAGCAGCAAAAATGTGTAAAGAATTGAATGGTCGATCTGCTTATGATATAGTATTCATAAGTCTTTATGAAAATAACAAAGAAGAGGTTATGAAAGCAGTATTGGAATTAAAAGGATTAGAAATGAATGATAATAATTTGGTAATAATTTTTATAGTGTTTTCGGGCAGTGAGGGAAAAATGCTAGCAGAAAATTTGATTGAAAAAATTGGAGGAACAACTTCGGTTATTTATACTCCAATTACTTGGAAAAAGTTGATTAATCAATTTATGCCTATGGGAAAAGACGATACCGCTGATGAAAATAATAAGAGTTTTCACGTCATTGAAAGTGTTTTAAAGCGAATACCAGATTATAAACCTCGTGTTATTGTAGATGCAAATCAAGATATATATAGTAACATAGTTTTGAGATATTCTAAGAGTAGAACAAGAAATGTTGCTAAAAGCAAATGTATTTTATGTGTGGTATGTTTTGGTTTCTTTTTATTTGTTGAATCATGTATACTTGTTAACATACTGAATTTCTTTAATCGGTCGGTTAATGTGATTTGTAGGACGATAATTCTATTAGTCTAAAGGTAATTATATATTTAATAACTGTATATTCATATTTATTTTATCAATTTTCTAACCTATTTTTATTTTTAGAACACATTGCAGCAAATTTCAAATCTTGGTTATTCAACAATCTCTGCAACAAATGGCCAGGAAGCGGTTAGATTGATTGATTCGGAGTTTAAATTGTTAAATAATGTATATTCAAGTTTATCTAGTTCAGATATAGAACAAATAAATTCCCACAGAATTTCGTTGATTTTAACAGAATGTAACTTAGTAAGTTTATTCTCTGAATTCATTTTTTGTTACTTGTTATTACAAAAATCAATAACGATAATTAATTATTATACTTAGCCAATAATGACAGGTTTTGGTATTTCACAAGTAATTAGGGCAATGGGACCGCCAGTTTCAAATATACCAATTGTTGTCTTGACTGCTTTACCTATAGAAGAAATACAAAATAAATGTATCGAGTCAGGAATAAATGATTACCTCGCAAAACCTCTTAAAAATGAAGAGCTTGAAAAAGTTCTAACTAAATGGATTGTTGAGAATTAGAATTAATCACGTTATGAATCTTATATATTGCGCCTTTATATATATATTTATATTTTTCAAGTTTAAATTATACTTTTCGATACTTTTTATTATTCTTTGAGAAAAAAAAAAAGCTTATATGTTTCATATTTTATGTCTCATTTTTATATATGAATAATTACTTTGCAGATTCTTTAAGTTTTAAACTGATCTCAGATATGCTTTATATTATTTTCAGTATTTTATAGCTATTTTGTGAATATTTTCGTTTTTAAAAATCCCATTGCAATCCTGATATATTAAATAAAATTTACTTACGTGTTTAGCAATGTATCTAAATTTTAAACATTAAATAAATATTTGAACAAAGGACTTTGATCATAATGAAAATTAATATCACAAAACCTTTTGAGCTCTTAACTAATAAGAGTTATAAAGAGTGTAAGTTATTGTTATAAAAAAAATAAATACTTTCGGAAATTGTTGTACGTTTTGACTGTCCCAAGCCTTTTTGCTATGTTCCGTACTACCTCTTCCAAAATGTCTCAAATTGTTCCAACTATGTTCCAAGTTTGATAATTAATAAATTAATCTAAAAAAAAATATACAATTACCGTGTTTTCGCGTAACTGCGCGTTATTTCGAGTACGCGTATAAGCCGTTATTTTGAATATTTCGAGTACGCGCATGAGCGTTATTTTGAGACAATTAAAAAATTTTAAGTACTCAAAAATACTAGATTTAGTACTAAGTAAAACTTCCTTCGAGCTTTAACATAAGTTGTTCTGAAAAACAACGACTATGGGGTGCGCGCAATTTTGGGACGCGAATGAGCGCTATTTTGAAACTATATATATTATTTTTAGAGGACACGATTTTTGAAATAACGCTCATGAGTGTTATTACGCGAAAATACGGTATATATATTTTTTAGGCGCTAAACATGTTTTTGAAAAAATTAATATTGATTGTCTTAATAAAATTTTGAGTAATTTAATTTAAAACTAGGTGCTTGATTTGTTTAAAGGGAGTTAGAAAAAGTATGCTATATTGTATTGTATAATTGCATACTAACTTATTATATATTAGTTATAGCATAATTTCAAATTTTTATCAATATCATATTATAATTTATAGCAAACAAATAGAGCATTGTATTAATAGTGATGAAAAATTGTTTAATTTTTATTTTGTCATATTTATTTGCTATTTTGTGATTTTATGTTAGTGCAAATTCTTTGAATAAGCTTTTTATACATTTCAGGCTATGTATAAAATTTTATTATTTCAATCTCTTTTATCACAATTAAGTGCTAAATTTTTTTTTATTTTTTGTTAATTCATTTTACTTCTAATTAACTATTCTATATTGTCTCTCATTACGATATATACTATATTTATTATTTTATCTATCACTAGTGTGATATAGTGATTACTATATGTGATAAGGTTGAGATAGTTTGTATAAGATTTCTATTGTTAGTTACAGTCAAACCTCTCTATAGTCACTTCCTATATAAGCATTTTCTTTATACCGTATTACCGCGAAATAACGACCATGGGCGTTATTTCGAGGTTCGGCCCGAATTAAGCTTAATTTATGTTAGAATTTATAATTTCACCCCTGCGCGTTATTTCGCGGCAATACGATAAGCCTATTTTTTAAAACACAAACTACTATTAAATATAAAGTTTGAGTTAATCTGCATTGGAATAGTCCTGATTTCTGTTGTGAGTTACTTTAAATAGTTCTGTTACAAGATTTATTTGTTATTTTATCACCAAAATATGTGGTTAATATGAGTTAGTTTGCATTGGAACTATCATGATTTCTATTGAGTTACCATGAATAATTTTGTTACAGAACTTACTTGCTATTCTATTGACTATAATAAGTGATTAAGGTGAGTTGGTTTGCATTGAAATTGGTATAATTTCCGTTATGAACTACTTAAAGAATTTTATTACAATACTTGTTATTCTGGTGATTATAATATGTGGTTAAAATGCAATAGTTTGCATTGGAATTATCATATTTCCATTGCGAATTACTATAAAAAAAATATATTACAGAACTTACTCATTATTATGGTAACTACATGTGCTTCATTGGAAGTATTTTAGTTTCTATCACGAGTTACTGTGAACTATTCTGTTACAGAACCTGCTATTCTGATGACCACGATATGTGGCTAAGGTGAGTTGGTTTGCATTGGAATTAATGTGATTTCTATTGTGAAATACTAAAGAAATTCTGTTACAGAACTTACTTTCTATTTTGATAACCACAATATGGGTTAAGATGAGGTTAGTTTACATTGGAATTATCATAATTTTTATCGTGAGAAATACTTTATCATTTTTATCATTAGTACTGCAAAAATTCTGTTGCAAAACCCATTATTCTTTCGACACAAAGCATGCGGTTTATTAATGCATGTTATTAGTATTGTCTATACCTCATTTAATAATATCAATGATATGTAGAAATGCATAACGCGCAAAAATTAGTTTTTGAAATCATAAATAGATAATTTATTTCGATATTATCACTAGAAAACTGTAAACATCATAGATAAGATGTAACTTTGGATGTTTTTGTATCCTTGATTCGTATGTTTTGATTTTCACGATATACTATAAATTTTTACTAACGTTTGGCATATATTTAGTAAACAAAATACATAAATTTCTTTAAGAATTCATTATCTAATTGTGGAAACATAGCTATAATCGAGAATGATCGGAGAGTAAATCGCAATTATTAAAATTAATCATGTATTTTTAGTACGTACGTACATCTAACTATGAATCAAAAGCCGTCAAGCTTAAAAATTTTTATAAATACAACTCGAAATCGATAAATTTTTTTGGGACGTATGCGCGGATAGATCTGAGCATGCAATGTAAGCAGCAGCTCATATTGCTTATTTGATATCAGATAAGCCTTTATTATTCTAAATTAATTATAATTTCAAAAAAAGGCCCGTATACATAATATGGTTTATATTTTATGTTTCATCCTTTAACTTTTAACCTAATCCTAAATTTAATACGTAATAGTAAAATTATTATAAAATATATATTGTGTTGGTCATCAATAGTGTTTTAGCACTTTCTTCAAAATCCATTAATAGTTTTTACAATTAATGATTGATTAAATTTGCAAGAAAATTTTGCCATTATTATGCATCATACATCACACAGCAATTTGAGAGCACAATAAGTTTCCAATATATCTAATTTCAGAATTTACAGAAAACATTGTTGGACTAAATCTACCGATTATTTATAAGATTGTACAATTCTTCAGTGTAGATGCATAAATTGGTTCATTCTTTAAAGATTTCTTAAATCTGCAAGTTGTATTACTGGATTCGCAAAAAGATGATGATAATTCATTACATATGTATTATTTGGTTAAATCTATAACGATTTCTCGTGCTTGCTTAAAATAAGTTATTCCACGATCTCTTACTGCATCTACATAACTCGGATCAACTTTTAATTATATACTAAAATCTGAAACCCAATATCTATTTATTATGCGGTAAATTTTATCACAATAATTTAATGCAACTGCATTATTTGGTTCAATTTCTAGCGACTTATTGAAATCCACAAGCGTTCTCTATATTTACTCATCTTAAAATAAATTGCTCCACGATCTCTTAACGCAACTGCACTATTTGGTTCAATCTCTAATGACTTATTGAAATCCACAAGCGATTCTTCATATCTACTCATCATAAAATAAGTTATTTCGCGACATCTTAATGCTTCTGCATTATTTGGCTTAATCCCTAATGATTTATTCAAGTCAGCAAGTGATTCTTCATATCTGTTCATCATTGAATAAGTTACTCCACGATAATTCAATGCACCTGTATTATTTGGTCGGATTTCTAGTGATTTATTGAAATCCGCAAGTGATTCTTCATATCTATTCATCATAAAATAAGTAATTCCACGATCTTTTAATGCTTCTGCATTAATTTGTTCAATTTCTAACGATCTATTTAAATCCGCAAGCGATTCACCATATCTATCTATTATGCGATAAATTTTACCACGATAATTCAATGCCAATGCATGATTTGATTCAATCTCCAATGATTTATTGAAGTCCACAAGCGTTTCTTCATATCTACTCATCATAAAATAAGTTATTCCGCGACTTCTTAATGCTTCTGCATTATTTGACTTAATCTCTAATGATTTATTCAAGTCAGCAAGCGATTCTTCATATTTTTTCATCATATGATAGGTTATTCCACGACTACTTAATACAAATGCATTATTTGGTTCATTTTCTAACGATTTATTTAAATCTGCAAGTGATTTTTCATATCTGCTTATCATACAATAAGCTGCACCTCGATATCGTAACGTAAATGCATCATTTGACTTAAGTTTTAGCGAATTATTCAGATCGGAAAGTGACTCTTCATATTTTTTCATCATATAATAAGTTACACCACGATTGCTTAATACAAATGCACTATTTTGTTCAATTTCTAATGATTTATTTAAATCCATGAGTGATTCTTCATATCTGTTCATCTTACGATAAGTTACTCCCCGATGTCTTAATACAAATGCATCATTTGGTCTAATTTCTAGTGATTTATTTAAGTCCATAAGTGATTTTCTATAACTTTTCATCATATAATAAGCTGCATCACGATGTCTTAAAGCAAATTCATCATCTGGCTTAATTTCTAGCGATTTATTTAAATCCGCGAGTGATTCTTTATCATAAGATAAACTTCACCACGACACTTCAATGCATCTATATTATCTGATTTAATATTTAATGATTGATTTAAATATTTCAGTGCTCCATCATATCTATTCAGCATTTTAAATACATAGCTTCTATAAATATAAGCTAAGTGCTTTGATGGTTTTAATTGAATTGCTATATCTAAATCATTTTTAGCTTTCGAATACATTTTAAGTTTATATGATGCGAATGCTCTTCTACATCGGATTGAATAACTTTTTGGATATAATTGTAT